CATGAGACCCAGAGTTGTGTAGAGGTTAGGAGTGTGGAATGGGGGTCAGATGGCCTGGATTCTGGTCCCAACCGGCTGAGTCTGGGCCAGTCACAGACCTTCAGCCCAGCTGTCCTCCCAGGGTTGCAGTTTTGCAGGTCAGACTGAGAGCAAGAACAGGGAATGATTTCAGGTGCTCTGCATTCTTTCAATGAATAACGCTGGGATATAGAGCAGTTACATAGATAAAGTATTGTTTGTGCTTGGCCAAAGGACAAATAGTTTCTCCTCCTCCTCTTCCTCCCGCCCCCATCCATTTTTTGGAAGCAACGCTACTATTCATTTTAGCTGTCGAATACTATAATTTCCTGCCACCACCATTGCAGGAAGCCTCAATCTGGATGATTTGGAGAAGGATCTGGGCAGTTTCAAGGGGGAGGAGACTCTCAGAGGCTGCAAGCTCCAGCACTGTCCTTCCCATCAATCCAACGGGGGCAGCTGGTATATCCACAGGGTGTGACATGCCTTCCGTCATAGGAAATAAATACTCGTATAAAAGTGGAATCCCTGCGTGGCCTTCTGGGACTTGGGCTGCCTCGTTGGCCTCTTCCTGTGATGCTTTGCTTGCCTGCTTCATCCATCCGTCAGTCCTCTGACTCCCCCAAGAAGTTCCCTGTGAGCCATGCTGAAATGCCAGGCCTAGCATGGGAGCGACAGCAGGAGGGAACACACCCAAAGTGGTTTTAGGGAGAACAGTGGGGGCAGCAGGGAACCAGCCTTTGCTGCTCATCCTGTCCAAGTGGGGTAGTTGCAATTGGAGACAAAGGCGTGAGGGAAAGGAGATGCCAGGCGTGTCCCTGGAGGGCTGAGAGGAAGGCGTTGAACGGCCTCTGGGAATCATGGCTGGAGGCTTAGAAGGGAGGTTCAGCCCTGGCTGATGGGCATGTGGCACAGGGAGGGAATTGCATGAAGCAAAAGAACACCGTGGCTAAAAGACCCAACAAACACCCTCGGGAGGACTTCCACAGGCCCACCATCTCCCTTCCCCTTGGCTGCATTCACACACAATGGAAAGCCCTGGCGGGACTGGTTAGCTGTCCTTCAGTGTGAATTCTGGTAGCATGGTGGAAGGGCTCATCTGGTTTGCCTGAAGCACCACAGAGAAGCACTGCTTTCTTGTACAGTTCTCCTCTCCCATATTGCTTACAGTTGTGTGTGAAGCCAGAAGCTTTTTTTTCTCTTTGTGTTCCCTATTTAGAGCAGCAAGCTGGGCAGTGGGAAGGACCGCGGTTGCTGCATCCAGCATGTCCAGCCACACCATTTCCTCACACTGGCTGCAATTTGGGGGGGGGCATCAGTGGGCTGCCCCCTGCCCCTCCTCCTGGTCCCCAATGCCCCACCACGGTCATGTCCCCAGTCCATCTGATGGCCCACCTCAAGGACTGCCTTGCTCACCACCGAGAAGCCCAGCTCATGCATCAGTGGTGTGCTATTCGTTATGGGAGCCTGCCTTTGCACATGATCCTCTGCACTGTATCCACATCCTGCCTTTCCTGTGAGCTGGATAGGCTACAGAGGAGACATGGAAGCCACCCTGGGACTGAATGCAGGTGGAAGGGCTGGAAGGGCAGGGAGCAGTAACGGCTGGGCAGCAGTGCCGCCTCCTTGCATGACGAGAAATAAAGGGGAAGGATATAAATCAGGCAATGCACGTTTGAGAGGTTTGTTATCCATTTTGAGAGAATGATGTGCTCAGGGCAGCATTCCAAGAGGTTTTCTCCTAGTTCTGACTGTAAGGCTGCAGAAACCCCAGGAATTCTGACCTGATGCAGCCCCTT